GAATTACAAGGAACTAAAATTGTTAAGCTTTCTGAACTGCAATTCAAATTCGGTCTGAACGCACTATTTGACAAAACTCTAAGCAAACAGTCAAGAAAAAAATACCTGATCAAGAAATCGAATGTAATCAGTGGCTATTCGAAGTGTATGAATTTTGCTCATCTTATCTGATGGTAATGAAGGTACAATACGTCGAAGAATTGCAAAAGCATCATTAAGTTCTTTGGTCCGTTGACGCTCTCGACGATTAGCTGACACTCGTTGCTGTTGCGCTTCTTCCGGATTATCGCCCTAAAGCCAAAAATTTTTATCATGTGCCAGTTTCCATATTTATCATATTCTCATTAAATACCACCACAGTTACCACTACTGTTCATCTTTTCAGAATCTTATGTTAACTAAGGTTCTATCACTAAAGACTTGTGTTTTGTTTGCTACGCTGACCAATGCCGGTTGATCTTCTCACTGAACACCTTCTAAAACAACGATTATTGCCTTTCTTACCAAACAGAGAAGAAGAAATTTTAATAATGTCATCTTTTGTATAAATTTTCCACGTACTCAAACAAGAAAAACAGTTTCAGTTATCAGTTATTTAGGAGGGGTAAAGTAAGACAAAAATATTTATATAAAATTACTAAAAAATCTTCAAAAAAAAGATGAAATAGAAGCTATACACCTAAAATATTGCCAGAAACTATGCCAAAAATAAATAAATTTTTGAAAGAGTATTCAAAGTATTGGAAGAAGACTTTTACAGGACATTTGTGTTCACTATTAAATCTTTTGGTCATCTCAACTGTAAAGTTCAAAAGTTATATTACATAATCAGTGCAATTTCTTATGAACAGCATCCGTACATCCCAACAATAACTTCCAACTTGAAGATAAAGTAAATTTTTGGGTTTCAAGTAGCGAAAACTATATTCCATTTTAAGGTGCCAAAATAAAGTTGCACATTGACAACAGTTCAGAAGATAAAGTCATAAATTTTTGAATAGATAAGAATCATCCTACAGGAAAGCTATAATAATAAGAAACTTTTGATAACTGTCTAAGCAACCAACATTGTTTTACTTTTTATTTCACCCAAATACCGTACAGTAATTTATAAAGCAATTTAAAAGTAACAACAACAGCTGTTTCAATGAACTGTAACTGTTATGACTCTTAAAGAAAACCGTATTAGGATAGGGTAACTGTTGGGGTTAGTTTCTAATATCAAACATTCATTCGGTCCATATGGGCAAAACACTATAAAGTTGTTGTTAATGTTTAAACTCTTGCAAAAAAAAAAAAAA